CCTGTATATTTGCAAAGAAGAATGTTATCGGACTGGTGTATTGTAGGTACATGGGGGGTGATTTTTTTTCCGGCATTAGTATCTGTATCTGTTTGGTTTGGAGTGGAGGCCATCGACTGGGTTCCACTCCAGAATGACTGGATTTGGTGTATCGATTTCTGCCTATTTCCTGCCAGTTTTTCTTCCCTTCCTGCACTAAAAAACCTCCTCCCTCTTGAGTGGCTGTGGCTACCCAGTTTCCCCTGGCCTGGATGTTTGTATCTTTTGTCCCCTTTAGATGGTATGCCTGGCAATTTAAGTTATAGCACAGTTCTTTTCCCTGTAGTTGGGTTTTTTGGGTTTTCTGAAGAGGTACACATTTCAGGGTGAAAAAGCGTTACAGGAAGGGAGTTTGCATTTTTTCCGTTTTCATATGGGCATGGCATTTACTAGGGTGGTCAATAGTTGCATGTCCCATCTGTTTTTTCCAGATTTCCCATGCCAGCAAATACCAAGTTCATAGATGTGCACAGTCTTGGTTTCCGCTTGCCTTGGGTTTCTGTGACTGTATTCCCTGTTGGTGGTCATGTTTCCCTGTCTTACTTCTATCCTCCCTAGCACCAACAATGGAGCTCCACCAGTTGTTTTTGTAATTTATCCCACTATTGCTATTTGGAGTCCTCTTGTTTGCTTATTTCCTGCGGTATTTCTAGTATTGCAATATTGGTTTTTATCTTATCTTTTACTACACTTGTTTCCCTACTATGGCTTCCTGTCCCCTATGAGTCATTTATATGTTATTCCTTCCTGCGGTATAATTCCCGACTCCCTGGACAATATATCCAGCTTCACTCATTTCTGTCTCCCAGGACAGTATCTCCAGCTTCACCATTTCGTGTCTCCCAGGGACAGCACCTCCAGCTTCACCATTACTTCTCACAGGACAGATCTTCCAGCTTCACCATTTCCTGTCCTCCCAGTACAGCACCTCCAGCTTCACCATTTCTGTCCCCAGGACAGCACCTATCTTCACCATTCTTCTCCCGGACAGCACCTCCAGCTTCCACATTAACGTCTCCCAGGACAGCACCTCCAGCTTCACCATTACTGTCTCCCAGGACAGCACCTCCGCTTCACCATTACTGTCTCCCAGGACAGCACTATCAGCCCCACATTTTACTGACTCCAGGACATCACCTCCAGCCTTACAGTTTATGCTACATGGCCATATCAAGGCATACCATTCAGCCCAGACATTTTTATGGTTCCCATCTGTTGTAGAAACTTCCAAGGTTTTTCTATGAAAGCAGCTTTGATGGTTGTCCTCTTTTAAGTACCCTTGTGATTTTAGTCCCACAGTTTTTCCTCATTTGAGCATACCCAAAAACACTTCTTCTCTGTTTTAAATACTGCTTGTAGCTAGTTCTGGATATCTGCACAGGGCGTGACACCAAATTCACAAAAATGACAATTTAATCCATGTGGAAGCCCGTTTGTTTGACTGACCACAGATCTACACAGGGCTTCATAATGATTTGATGGTTGATTTACTGGCAATCTACTAGCAACCTCTTGAAAATTCTATAATAACCTTAAATGAAGCTAAGCTATTTGTATTCTGTTTCTAACTCTTTTTTGTATATTGACAGCTTACCGTCACTTCCTGATTTTTAATGTTTGTGTTTATAGGGCGCCTACAACCCCATCCTTTACAGTCTGCTTTATTGCCAACGAAACTGTTTGAAACCAGTCCCGGGTTCGGACCAGTCAAGGGCCGGACTCAGCAAGGGTCGGGCCAGACGATCTGCTCTGATCATGGGTCACTTATTTAAAAAAAACATACGGGTCGGTGGAATTTGAGCTAACTACATGAAGATTCGACTGAAAAATTATCTACCCAGTAATATGTGATTTGACTGATACAAAGTATAACTTGCGTGTTGAAGAGCCGGTGATATCTGGCAGCCCGTACAATGACGAACGGTCACCTCCTTGTTATCAATCGCTGTATCTGGCTTTTCTCTTTTTTTTTTTTTTTTTTTTCTTTTTCCGTCTCCACCACAATAAATGCAATATTATCACTATAGTTGACTGGTGCAAATTTGGAGGAAAGGGACGCTTTTATCTTGTAGTAATAATTGCTTCTCGTCTGTGTATATTTTCGACTGCTGGTAACTACAGGTTATAATGAAATTCACAGTAACGTCTCGTATTTCAGAAAAAGAAACTAATGAAGTCACTCCACTCCACTAAGTACCATTATAATACTGGTTTAGTTGCTACTACAACACTGGTATCTGCTAATCACTGGTATCACTAGATTATATGCGAGTACACTGGCAAGCAGAAGATTATTAAAAACAGCTGAACTGTGGTAAGTTCTGGCGACTTCTGGCACCTGCCTCTAATAGGCTTATCACTTCATTACAAATTCACCTGTTTTCAAATGACACTTTAGCCTTTATCAATCAATAACTAGGGAGCCACGTTAGTAAAACACTATACACTATTATACTCAATG